ATTAGCATATTCTGGTGACTCTTGTAACGGAGCGCCTGAATCCCAAACCATGGATTTCGATCCCATCACTACCTTATTTGCCTGTCATTCGCCAAATTGCAAGTAAGTATAAAAACACTTTTATATCTCTTTACAAATCGCCGGCATTTAGCTTTTGCAGAGCACTTGCAATGCTATAGACTCTATGGGTGGTCAGTCAGGTTTATAGCACTCGACTCCTTTCGTTAATCTACTCCACATTTAATTAATCTGTGATTATAATTAAAATTAATACAAATCATTTTGTCTCCCTTTCCCACCCTTTGCCGCCCTTTCATGTATTTCGTAGCAAATCTGAACTTTATAGCAGAAGTTGCGATAAGACAGACAGAGTTTATGTGCCCTCAACTGAGATGCCGGAGCCAAGAGTGTTGTCGCCTTCAAAGCACTACTATAACAATAATCACACATATAATGGGCCACAAATTCAGAGCCCAACTTATTCGTTGACTTCGTGTTTTCCGCCGCAGTCTTCTTCGCCCACTTATTTTTATGGCACAAACGGATACAACAGTCCTTCCCAGTCGTCGCCGGCTTCTTATGTTATTCACCCGCAAATACAAATGAGTGCCAACAGTGGTTACGCTCAGTCTAGTCAACCAAATCATAGCGCCTACACCTCAAACATAATGCCAGAACACGTCCACAACTCACCTCATATGCCCACCGCATCCATGAGTGTCAACCTATCCATGAATATGACAATGGGTTTCACTAATAATGATCCCCAGCAACAGATTCAATGGTCAGCGCCTGTACCCGCATATCAGGCTAATTATCCAAATCAATCTATAGGAACCCCATTATCTCATCATCACTTGCACTCGTCATCCTATATCCCTCCTTCTCCTACTTCTTATACATTTACCGCAGAATTTAGACCTTCAGAACACATGAACACAAGTCTACCGCCCATTGAGAAAGAGTTTGGAAATATTTGTAGTATTAAACCATCGATAGCACAATCAGACCATACAATTCAAAAGAATCCAATAGACGGCTATCAATGCCGTCTTCACCATCGATTCAGAGTCAATAAAACGCAAAGATATGGCGAACAACAGGTCTCCTCAACACCTAATCACGAATCTAGTGATAAAAATGTGGGTAATATGTGTTCAAATAATTTGTGCCGTATTTGCGGTAAGACATACGCCCGGCCCTCAACTTTAAAGACACATTTACGAACTCATTCTGGAGAAAAGCCATACAGGTATTACATCATTGATTGCAACCATTTGTTTGACCCGTTTTCTTATTCAAATGACAAACAGATGCAATACATGCAGCAAATCATTCTCTCAGGCGGCGAACCTGACGGCACACATCCGCACCCATAGCGGCGAAAAGCCATTCCGATGTCCCGTCTGTGAGAGAAGGTTCTCGCAGTCGTCATTTCCAAATCAATCTATAGGAACCCCATTATCTCATCATCACTTGCACTCGTCATCCTATATCCCTCCTTCTCCTACTTCTTATACATTTACCGCAGAATTTAGACCTTCAGAACACATGAACACAAGTTTACCGCCCATTGAGAAAGAGTTTGGAAATATTTGTAGTATTAAACCATCGATAGCACAATCAGACCATACAATTCAAAAGAATCCAATAGACGGCTATCAGTGCCGTCTTCACCATCGATTCAGAGTCAATAAAACGCAAAGATATGGCGAACAACAGGTCTCCTCAACACCTAATCACGAATCAAGTGATAAAAATGTGGGTAATATGTGTTCAAATAATCTGTGCCGTATTTGCGGTAAAACATACGCCCGGCCCTCAACTTTAAAGACACATTTACGAACTCATTCTGGAGAAAAGCCATACAGGTATTACATCATTGATTGCAACCATTTGTTTGACCCGTTTTCTTATTCAAATGACCAACAGATGCAATACATGCAGCAAATCATTCTCTCAGGCGGCGAACCTGACGGCACACATCCGCACCCATAGCGGCGAAAAGCCATTCCGATGTCCCGTCTGTGAGAGAAGGTTCTCGCAGTCGTCATCCGTAACGACACACATGCGAACTCATTCAGGAGAGAGACCCTACCGGTGCTGTATGTGTAAGAAAGCATTTTCCGACTCCTCAACGCTTACCAAACACTTGCGGATCCATTCGGGAGAGAAGCCATACCAGTGTCAGCTCTGTTTACTTCGCTTCTCCCAATCGGGAAACCTTAACAGACATATGAGAATTCATACATAATTTTTCATTATATTATATCTTTCATAAAATATCGTTCGCAACAAATGAATGTTATTTCTATAATCCTTTTGTGATAATATATGAGACTTAATAAGATTTACTGAAACCAAAGATTATAAAAATGAATATAAGAATGCAATGCAAGCGAAAAGTCTATTAAACAATAATTGTTTAACTCTTTTAATTTTCTGGTCACAAATACTTAATTTATTAGTACTTTAATTTATTTATAAATTCAATAATTTATTAAAAGTTTTAATGATCTCATTTTTGTAAAGTTAAATTAATTTAATCATTAATTTAATATTACTGTATTAGTACACACCCAATGCTTATCTGCTAATATGATTAATTAATTTTTAAAACAAAATATTATATAATTTATAAATATTGTATACTGTATTAACCAAATAATAATTTATGCATTAAATTTTTTAATTAAATGAAATTAAAACGTGTTGTTTGAACACAAAAAAAATAAGAATTTTATTTATCTGACACTATATTTCTATTGAGAAGTTTTAGTTTGAATTAAATGTTCAGATTATGCAAAAGGTTTGGAATCCATGGATGTTTGCAGACGTCGGCGATTGAGATCCGTTTGTTAGGGTCGGGTTCTAGTAGTCTTCGGATCAAGTCTTTACACGTTTGGCTTAACTTTGTGTCGATTTTGGTTTGATATTTATATTGCCTATTCTTCTGTTTGACGAGAAGAGTCTCTTTTGGTTCATCACTATTGAAGGGGTACTCGTAGTTGACAATAATGAACAGACAGATGCCTAAACACCAAACATCACTTTTGAACGGATCGTATGGCGTTTTGCTGACCACTTCTGGCGGTTCATAAGAAGGCGTTCCCACAAATGAACTGCATTTACGAAATTTGCCAGTTTTGGTGTCTTTGGGAACGAATCGACTGAAACCAAAATCACACACTTTTGGGTTGTAATTGGCGTCGAGCAGTATATTGTCTAACTTGAGATCCCTGTGCGCTATACCGTTGCGGTGCAAATACTGGATAGCATTTGCCACTTGACTGAAATACAACTTTCCCTTCCACTCACAAATTGCCCCTTTTGTGTCCACTTCATCGCCAATGCTTTTATTGGGCATAAAATCCATAATAATATAGACCTTATGTTTGGTGCGAAACATGTCTTCGACACGAATACAATTTGGATGCTTTACATTCTTTATGATAGACAGCTCTCGTTTCAGGTCGTCGTCCAATGTTTTATCATTGGTGTCGATGTGAATCACTTTCGCCGCTAATGTAATTTTATTTTTCGTAGTCTTATACACATTTCCCTGACCTCCAGAATCTAATGGTATAAATGTTGTGTATCCGCGCTTCCGAAGCACATCCATACCATCGCTCTTCTCTTTTGCCATTTTTACGAACTCTTTATAAATATTAAATAACGAATTTAATGCCTTTAAATAACTATTTGTAATTGAAATGCGGCCAAATGTAAGGCCGACATCGCGCAAACAATATTCATCTTATTTTTAATAATGTTATCAATGATAACTTATCATGCATTTTATTAACAGTATTTGCTTTGCATATTTCAGCAATATTTTCGATGCATGCGATTATTACGTAAATTATGTTTTAATTCAATTTAAAGATTGGTGTTTATTGTTTAAAACGCGATTTATATAAATATAAGCAAAAATTACAAAACAGTTAATCATTTAAATCAATGATTATTTTTGTCGTATTTATCAAATCACTTAATGTATTGATATATCTGTGCAAAGACTGGTATAAAATGTCATCACAAAATTCCACACAAAATACCAATTCTGAAGATGTTGTTGCAATAATAATTTATGTGATTCTGGCTATACTTGGAATCGCAGTGATTATTATTGTCATTATGTTTTGCTATCGAAGATTCTGGACATTAGGCACACAATCCGAGGACAATAGGGACCGACCGAGTAATACATGTCAATAAAATAGTGTTTGCATACATTGTATTAACAAATAATTGTTTTACAAAAACAGTGTCTGAGAGACAGAAAATGAGAGAAAAGAAGAAAATTGAGGACTACTTCGAAAGAGAAGAAAATCTGGATCCTTATGAACGTCAAGACACAGGTTCTCCAAAATCATTGAAGTCTTTAGGCTTTAATATGAAAAAGGATTCAAACGATTCCAATGCTTCTAACGTAATGTCTACTCTTTCGGGGAACAAGTCATCCAATTTGTCCTCACATTCTTCTACTGATTCCACAAAGAAATAGATTATTTAAATGATTATTATATTTCTGTTTCTATTTATATATTTATTTCTCATTTATTACAAAACACACATAAGATATGAGTTTTAAAATTTTAACAAATTTATAACAGTAATACAGTATATTTTGAATCGCGGTGACTTTTAATCTAATACTTTAATTTTAATAAATTATTTAAATCTAAAATTTTTAATGTCGTTTAAATAAACTTTACATTAAATTTTATGTTTTTGCATTTTTATTTATCAAATTTAAAATCATTTTAAAAACGTTTACTATCATTTGAATACTAATTAACCAAATTCTAAATCAAACAAAACTTTTGGTTTAAGTGAATTGTTTAAACTTTTATAATAAATGTAAGATTTAAATCAATAAATTAATTTTCATTTAACAATTACATAAATCACTTAAAAATACTTATAATATCTAAAATATAATGATTATAATCGACAGAAATATTTATGAATATTTGCTTTTTATTGGTTTTTATTTTGAAAACTTTAATTGACGATAAATGAGATTACAATCATATACTGTGTTAATAATAGTGAAGAGCAGTTAGTGTTTGAACCATTAGTTACAAGTAGTTATTGAACAATAATTATGGGAATAAACGATAGCTCAGCCACTTCTGCCTCCCAGTCCTCTCCTATATCCCACAGTATATGTTCTCTATGTTCTCAACGCTCTATCAATGCTCTCTATCATTGACTTCCTTATTAAAGCCAATTGAGTTAACATTGAATTCATAATCAAATGACTCACAGACAGGACTAACGTTCTCGTTGTCTATTAATTAAATCCTAACCAATAGTGAATCGAAACCAATTTAAAGCCAAACATTTTAAATACAATTTTGTGCCATTTTTGGGTCCATTTCGGTGATAGCCTTCGACGAGTTTAGACGTTAACGCGTTTTTTTTGGTAGCCATAAGAAGTTGGCCGCAGAGTTCTAAGTACTAGCGCCGCAGGAGTGTATGTGTAATACTAATACTCCTGCAGCCCTGGTGCTTCTGACTCCAACGGCCAGACACTGCACACATCACATCCACCCACACATCCACACACCCAACCTATTCAAGTCCTAAACACTACATCCATCGCTACATTTTTACCAATACATCAATTCGTCCGCTCCAACAACACGGCACTGCACTTCATTCTGGCATCAAAGGTATTTCTACCCTAATTTAACTTAATTTGATGTAAATCGATAATTTTCAACATATATTTTCTATTGTTCATGTTATTTTTGAAGTATTACAGTACTTCAAAACTAAGATTCTGTGAAATATGTAATTGCAATTTAATGTTTGTATTAAAATAAAGTTTTATCGTATTTTCATTTTTGTATATTATCTTTGATATTAATATTCTATTTTAAACCAAACAGTACTAAATAATTGTATCACAATTGCAAGTAATTGTATAATTATATGCAAATTAGTTTATTGGATGAATCAAAAAGCAAAATTACATGGTAAGTTATATTATGATTAAAGTAGATTTCAGTCAATACTTTTTAGAAATAAAAGTGACCAAATAAAAGAAATGCATTTATCTTTTAAATGTAATCTTATAATTAAAAATGTATATAATTGTGACCATAATTGTGTATAATATGTGCTCATTAATGAACAATTGGTTATAATGGATGCGATTAAACAAAATAAAACATCACATAAAACTCAATTATCAAACAATTTTTATTTTAATCAATAGTTTACATGTTATATAAATAATTGGTTATATAATAAAAGTTGAAAAGTAATTTCGAAGTGAAAGTGAAGCGCACCTGAAATGACACTTTCATTCAATACATACGAATAGAGTATTGTTTTGCAGTTTAGTTACACTTTGTTTACATTCACAACAC